CGGCGCGGAGGGGGGGGGGGGGGGTGTACTCATAGTCGTGCATGCCGTAGTCATTAGACCATTGACCTCGCATCCCTACAAAGCCGGGACGGAGCACGCCGGATTTTCACCGGACCAGGCTCTCACATCACCAAGCGCGAAGCGCCGTGAGGTATTCGGCGAGTCGCATGAAGGGTGAGCTGCATCCTGCTAAGGTTGTTCGGCATCATGTGCTTACTTGCTTGCGTACGGATGACAGCTGCGTATGACTTAATTTATTTTCTGGTGCTTTCACTTCCAGCGACAGTTGCAAGCACAATGTAACTGCCTCGAGGATGCTTGACCATTTTAACACAACGTGGTGCGATCATCCCCCTTGCGCGGAGTGAGGTTTCTCCACCCCGCACAACATGATCTACTCGACCACCATTATGGTTACCGCAAAAAAAAAAACGAGGTAAAAAAAAAAAAACGGTAACCTGGTTGCCGAGTTCACGAAGTGAATTGGCTTGTTTTACAACGTCGTTGCCAAGCGACGACAACCCAATCCCGATGGCAAACACCGAGGGGAGGGGGGGGGGGGGGAAAAAGTTACCCGGGGGAACCTCCGGCCATACCAATCACGTTCGAGTAGGGCGGCGGCAACGTGGACCCGGAAGCCTCGCCGGCGGGGCGGTCTGCCCGTTGGCAGAAACGCCTCCTCCGGTCGTCGAAAGCTTTCTCCGCGAAGTGGATACAAACCGCTCATAAGGATACGGCCGTCTGGCGGACCGAGCGGGGGGGGGGGGGTTCTAGTGCCGGCACGCCGCTATTCCTGTAATAGCCGCTGGGTCTTCGATTGGAGGGCTAAAAACGAAACCCCGACCAGTCTGTTCGAACCTTGATACTCGCCCTACGTACAGAACTGGAAGACTCAATGCAAACGCCTTTCACTCGTTAGGGCCAGGCCTTAAACAGCCGAAATGCGCGCGCGAAAAAAAAAGAACGCGCGCTGCGGTGTTTGGCGGCGGGAAGCCAGGTCAATGTTGGACCGAGGCGGTGAATACTACAACTAAAATACACGAACGTTACCACCCCCCCGGTGATTCTTCGCGCTTGGCGCTGTTAGATGCCCATCGGCGGTGGCGAAAAAGAATGAGGGAGGATTGGAGGGCCTACACATGTCAAGAACACCACGGCAACTGCCAAAGGCTGCTGTAGAAAGTAGCCAAGTCTGCGACTGTTGGGGTAACAAGGCCATGGCCGCGCCGCACGTTCTCCCTCGTCACCTGTTCGCGGCCTTGAGAACTAGCTTCGAAAAGTCTTGCAGCTGGCGGGGTGGTCGGAGGGGCAGGCCTGTTCGTTCTCCCTTTGAAAAAAGAGGGGGTGGGGGGGCGGGAGGAGGAAAAGGTAATGGAAGGATTTAGGGGCAGGGCAATGACAAATGTGTCTCGGGCCGGGATAAGGGGCTGAGGAATGGTGCACCAGCAAATAGCAAGAACAAAATACGGCAGCGTAGGCACGCAGCGACATGTTCAAAACGAAAAATGTATCATGAACCAAGAAGCCAACCCCCCCGCAAGAAGTTCGTGAGCTCATACTTAGCCAAGACGCCAGTAGCCAGGCGATCCAATCACCGACCTGTGGCATCGATTGACGAGCTTGCACCGCACCACGACCACCACCACCACTAGCGCCGCCCGAGGGAGGACCTGCCGAAGCCATCGGCGCCCCCACGACAGCAGTATCTGCCCCGGCCACGGGCTCGGCTAGACGGGCGAGCTCTCGCTTAACCTTACCGACCACCACGGGGTACCCTTCCGATCCCTTCACCAACACGCCGTTCACCATGAGCATGTCTCGCTCCACATCCCTGGCAGCTTGAATCTCTCTGTTCTCGAGACGAAACAGCAACAACAACAACAACAACAACAACACAAACGCAATGCCGTCATGTTTTGCTGAGGAAAACATTCTACAAGAAACCGAATTTTTACATTATATAAGGGTTGTGTACGCACGCCCACGCGGGAGCGCAGGAGCAGCAATGCGTGCGCGACGTGGCCTTCGTCGTAAGCAGGAAGGGGAAGGGGAAGGGGAGCCTCGTGTAAATACGGGCCAGTGTTCTCATCTGTACAGTTACGCACCTCCGAAGAACGAATGACGTTAGAGTGAGAAATGAATCTCGTCCTTCGGATGCGGCAACATTAAGATTCGCAATGAAATCGATCCGAAGCGCAGACCCCATTAGCCTTGATCACGGCATGGGGCGTGACGCCGCTTGTTACGTGCAACACGTTTTTTCACATTCCGGGTACCGCATGATACCGTCGTTCGCCGTGCCTGCTTGCCCTGCCTGGCTGAGGAACGACCACATCGGGGGCGCACACAGAACGACCGATATCTCTCTGGAGGTGAATATATCCACATCTCCACCCCTTTTACCTCGAGAACATTCCGTGTTTGTTACCACGAGGTGAGTAGATGAGTAAGCAGCTGTTACCGCCAGAAGATCAAGCAGCTTATGCCGCGAGAAGATCCTGCGGTTGACAACACAATAAGATTCAGCAATCCTCGCTTCGCTCACCGACACCTAAAACAGGAAACCCTTGAAGGATCGCGAACAAATTCTGTTTTCTTTACACGCGTTTCCTGCACTTTTCACACGTCCGGGTCCGAAGACCAACCACCTTGACCACCCAACAGTTTTTAACGGCGGCGTTCCAAGACGCGGAGTCACCTCGACAGTTGAAACACTACACCGAACAGATAGCTTCCTATCGCCTCTCCGTCTTCCTCCTCTTCCTTCGCCTCACTAACCTGTCGTCTTTTCTGGCACGCCCCCCGTCACCGCCGTCTCCAGCCTCACCGCCACCCCCAAGCGGAACCAAAAGGGTTCCGAACCTCTCCGCCCATTCCGCGAAGAAAGCCTCTCTTGAAACTCCGGCCGCAGCTCGAAGAGCCACCGCGGCTGGTCCGTCATCACTCAACAGAACACCCCCCACCCCGCGGTTTCTTGCCCCGCCGGTGGCGGGAGATGGCTTGGGTGTGTTGTCGAGGGCGAACGCGAGCTCTCGTCTCAAGTCGGCAGCGCTTGATAGCGGCCCCCCTCCTGCCCGATGAGGTGGAATTGTCGCTGCTGCTGCATCTGCGCCTCCACCGCCTTCTCCCCCGCCAGAGTCCCCCAAGGACGCGCTCAGGACAAGGAGGTCTTCAATAAGTCGTACCCGTCTAGTCGAGAGGAACGCCTAGAGGCAATGCAAAGCCCAGGGGGGTAGGCGAGGAAACGGTAGAGGGTAAGTGCTTGGCGAATAACCAACTGAAATGGAATGCCGAGCGGCTGCTCAGCGGTTTGGAAAAGCGAATGAAATGTGAAGACTGTAGTGACCTCGCGCACGCTGGTCGTTTTTCCGCGCCCGACGCTGTTCGCAACTCCAGGGCAGCAAAACGTTGGAAAAGGCCACTACAGATTTGAGCCCACAAAACTGTCAAAAACGTGCGTTCGACTTGCCCGGCCAACGGGTCACCGTGCCTTGTCGATCGTCCTCCAGCTTCAGCGACAGCACAACAGGAGGCGTCACCACTCCAGAATCTCTTGCACTACCCGAGGCTCTTTCTTTATGCCTTCTGGGGGGGGGGAACCCAGCAGGGACTGTATAGGTTTTGAATTGGAATCTTAGCTGAGCACCTGTTGCTTATGGCCAAGTAATTAAGGTTTCGATCTTATCGAGCTTGAGATAGTTCTTAAGTCTCAGGTTCTTAAAGTGGTAACACAATCTGTTTGTATTTAGTGAAATAACACCGACCTGGATCGTGCCTAGCGCCTTGGCGTGGTCTTGGTCCCCCCCCCGGTCGCTGGCAAACGCCTCCTCAAGTTGGGCCAGCAAGGCCTCCTCTCCCTCCCCGTCTCCCTCCTCTGTTGGCAGCCTGAACGACCAGAAAATTCGAAAGACAAAAAGCGTACAATAACAGTGCATGTGTCACACCAACTGAAGGAGCTGTCGCCGTAGAATGACTCCTTGTTGTTGAGCTCGAAGGGAAACACAATCCGTCTTCACGTCTACGGCCTGCTGTGTGCTATGGTAATTTCCTCAAGACGCACGAGCGGGCTCGTTTGCCTTTGGCATGCATGTCCATGTTGCAACCAACCATTTATGCCTACCCGCACGTGCCGTACGTTCAGCTGATGCGCAGCATTCTTAATTTGCAATGCACGAACGGTGTTCGTATGGACTTGATGCGGTGGTTGCTTTTGGATTCCTGCTTGGTCGCTGCAGCTGCCACTGCTGTGCCCGGTAGGCTTCACCGATACGCCAACAACCCGCACGATGGTTTCAGGAATTCTCCCTGTTATCTCAACTGCCGGAGTTTCTGTGGCGTCTTACTTGTGTCCATGCACTCAAGAATAGGCTCGACGGTCGGCCGCCCTTACGGAGATGCACGGCAGCAGGAGTACAGAGTTCATGTTTCACGCCCCTCTGTCTGGCATACGAATCGGGGGGCGGGGGGGTTCACTAACGCTTGGCTTTGGGACACCAGATGCGAAAACAACAAGGCAACAGAGCGGTCATACAGTTGTCAGCGTCGCCTAGCCACCAAACCGCCCAAGCACTTCCTGCACTACTGCTGAACACACCATCAGTGGTATTCGACACACCAAGCTTCTTCCTATAAACAGAGAGTTCTGCCATCGCGGAGGGAACTTGGTGCTTCACATTTACTGTGTTCTTCCCAGCATCGTTCCTCTGCCCTTACCTTCCCCAGTCTTCAGCAGAATCTTCGAGAAAACGCGTGGGAAAACTTGGCCAATCCATACCATCCATCACCAGACTGGTGCTCGGCGGTGATGCTGTGTGTCACCGGTGCTGCTGTGTGTGCTCTGCTTGGGACTTGTCAACGGAGGAAGCGGCCCAATTGGATATTGGAGGCCCCGAAAACTGTTCCGAAAAGGGTCTCCTCAGGTTCAGTTGGGATTATCGGCGGTTCAGTCTCGGCCGCCGTGCCTCTAGGCCCAAGCTTTTGCAAGCTTTCGAAGCAGCAAAATCACCTGACCTCTACATCTCCCGCGTTCTCTGCATGACACGTGTTTTGAGGGTGCTCCGGCTGAAGCGCGTCCCGATTTTCCAACAACTTTGCATCGAAGAGGTTCTGTTCTACAAGACCACTTCAAACTGGTGAGGTCTCGAAACATGTTCGCATCCCTACTTTCAACAGGGCCTCTCTCAAGTACACAGCAGACATGTCCCGTTCGCCGCGGCAACCACGCTTGTACCCTATTGCTCCTACGATCGTCGAAGCACCCGCCAGGCGCACATGCGACGTGGATTATGTACCACGCGTAAATTCGCGTGTTCAGGTCACGTGTGAAAATAAATACCGACCAATAGGTCAGTACTGCAACATGGGACCTGGACATTGCACGCTACTTCTGTACGACACAAGATAACCGACCCCCGGGACCAATTTTCAAAGCTCGATACGCCATGATGAAGAGAATGCATTCACGAAACGATCATTTTTCGGAAAGCTCTCGACGAGACGGCTTCAACGCCGCCGTTTTAGGTGCTGTGACTCTTTCTGCTGTTGAGAAATCGAGCTTTGAATATCGGTCAAGGGGGTGTGTTATCTTGTGTCGTATACGGTATGTACTGCTGTCTCGGAGTGGCATGTATGTTTCACGGTTGTGCGGCGCCGTGCGGGCGGCATCTCGACGACCCTCTGCTAAACGGGTGCTTCGAATCACGGGCTGCGGGTTGGAAGGGAACAGTAGTAGTTGGTGAGCACGAAAACGGACAATACCGCCTCCAGCCCGAACATGCACCCCCCCCAGAAATATGACAATGATGACCTCTCATCCCACTGGCAATGACACTCTGCGAACGGTGTTCGACGACGGCTGCAGCAGTAGATCGAAGACCAACTGGAAGATCACTAGCGGAACACCGAACCACAAGCATGCAACACCACCCACGCCGACCTTTTCGGAGAGCTGCTGTCTGTTGTACCCACAACCCCGCTCCGCTAGCCCTGTGCCGTGCCTACCCATCCCACTCATATCTCGAGACCCTGTATGTACATGGCCGTTCAACCCCGACCTGCGCGCCCGCGTGTACTTATTGAATTGGCGTCGATTGCGCTATCGGGTGGACCAATGCAAGGACGTCCGTCTTGCAGCTGCTGTCGTGTCTGTCTCTTGGCTTCGACCATGCCAACCTGCTGACCAGCGAAAGTATGCCAGCCTTACATAGCGGGACACAGAACGCGCGAAAACCTCTGTATCGGTGTCTCAATGGCTTCTTTGCGCGTGTCGTTATCGCCGCCCGAGCGGGCACAGGCTGGTGCTCAATGAAGGCCACCCACAGGCGCACCCGACGGTGGTCCTGGGCATCTCCGGCAAGCCAGAGAAGATGTGCAACCTGGAGCTCGTAGAGCGCGACAAGGTGAGGGGGAGGACGGGGGGGGGTCCCTGCCCTCGCCGCGCGGGTCTTGGTCTGCCGTGGCCAATAAACGTGGTATGGCGTTTCGATCGAGGGAAGAGCGCACGCCCGCGGAGGGCCACGGTTGGTATGCCACGAACGAACGAAGTGTATGCTGGGTGTCTTTGGTCACGACGATGTTTGTTGACGTTTTTTTTTGGAAGCCTTCAATTTTCTTTTTCGGCAATCTGAGGGTACATGGACTGGAGTTTTTTCGTCGAAGGTGGGACTCGTGTCCGCATGTGCGATGCCGTCCGCCGCGCTGACTTTGCCTTTCTGGCGTGTTATTTTCGTTCCGTTGTGATTTTTGCTTTTTTTTCGTCGCGTCCTTGTGTGGAAGCGAAGATACCGTTGATCAAGAGGTTCTCAGGCGGAGGAACTGTGATCGTCGACGGAAGCACCATCTTCGCTTCCCTTATCGTGAACCAGGTACACATGTATCCCCGAGCACGCACCCCCGGTCAGGCGTTGGGGGATGAACCAATGCCTTCAGTTGGACAAGTACGGATATTTGAAGGTACTGAGCGGAGATCGGAAAGATTTTTAGTGTGAAGACAACAACGGGATGGTTTTTACCGTGAAGACAACGACACAGCTGCTTCTCCCTTCTTCCATGGTCGTTTTCGCCCAGTACTGTAGTGTGACACCCCATTCGATACCACACCGCGCACCATACCGTGACATGATATTCCGTACCGGGGTATGACGTGACGGAATGGAACGTCCTGCCAATACATGCTCTGTTGCCGTCTGCTTGCTTGGTGTAGTACACGCCAGCTCTAGTGTACCACAACATGCGCGCCGTACCCGTGCCCTTCTCTTTCTCGTGACAACCTCCACACCTAGGCCCTTCCGCCATCACACATTCTTGGCAGTCCCTGGATTTTTTTGTTTTTGTTCTTGGCGCCTTGTCGTGGGTCTGTCTGTCTGTCTGGCTGCTGCTGCTTCTATTGTGCTGCGAGAGTTGCGACCCCAACCCGTCGCCTCCCAAGCGCCAGCACCCTTCCCCACCCAACCGGCGCTCGGGCGATCCTGAACCTCCCCCTTTGTCCCACAAGCCCTCAACCGTCACGTATTTCGCCGCTCCTCCCCGACGACCTCCTCCCACCCTACTGCTGGCCGCTCCTAACCCGCCGCTGCCACTGCGTCCCATTGGACCGCATTGGTACTATTGCGCGTCTTGGACATGATGGGGTGGTTTTCCCGAGAAGGCGGATGTTCCTGAGTGCAAGCCTTACCCGAGAGAGATCATGGACTGGAGCAAGTGAGGGCCGGCTTACGTGCGTTTTTCTTTTTTTGTTTAAGACTGGTCTGCTCGGGAGCCTCGTCTTTTCAGCAGGAGGAGAAGGGACAGGGGGGGGGGGGGGGGGGGGGGGGGGGGG